CCTTGGACGCCTGTTCTTCTAAATCATTGTAAGACACATCAATGACAGGAAGTTCGTTATATAGACGTACTTATTGTACCATCTAAAGCCAGGTTTTGAATGGTGGCTTACTTTTATTTATTTATTTATTTATTTGGTATCATTAATCTACAATTACATGAAGAACATTTTGTTTACTAGGCTCCCTCCTTCACCAAGTGCCCCCCTGTACCCTTTCACAGTCACTGGAATGATGGCTTATTTTCTTTTGCCAACTTGCAGACCTTTATTGGGAGGTCTTTTAGAATACCCCTGGACAGCAAATACTCTGAGGAATCTAGATGTAGGAGTGATTCCAGATCCAGTGAAGGAGGATGTGTAAAAGGTTTAACCACACCTCAGCGGACCAAGGTAGTCTCAGAAAACGGGTTATAGAGTTGAAATATGGCAATTAGATCTAAAAGAACAATATAGTCTGGTTTTGTGTCTTTTCAAATAATGACCCCATCATCAGCCCATGGGGTAAAATCCAAGCACCTGCCATGGAATAAATATCCACGATGTCTACCCCATTGCCTCATCTTGCACCCCGAGTTCCAGACACTCTGAATATTTTAACTTCCCTACACATTCCTTCTCTTCATATCTTCAAGTCTTTGTATATACTATTAACTCTACTAGGAAAGCTCTTTCTGCCTCATGTCTGTGTGGAAACAGCCAAGTACCCTTTAATGTTATACTTAAATAACTGGCCTTTTGTGGAATATTCCTTGAGTTTTCCAGGTGTATGAAGTTTCCTTGTTCAGTGCTCCATGGCATTTTTTACATTTCCCCAATGTAGCATCTGTCACACAATTCATCAATAAGTAATTTACATGCTCTCTTCTTTTAGTTGAACAGGACATTCCTAAAGGGTAAAGATCCTGTGTCTTTTTTGCCTTTATATTTCCTAAATCTAACACATAGTTGTTTTCCTGGTTGGCTAACTCCTTTATGACTTTAAGAACCTGTCTCAGTAGACTTCCCTTAGCCCTTGACTGTCTTCTACTGAGAGATGACCAAGGGCCTTGTCAATTCCTGGCCTATGTTCCCTTTGCTCCAGTGTCACGAGATGTATGGGGAAGAGTCAAAAGTCAGAATTACAGAGAAAAACTTAGGAAACATAAAAAGCATTTCTCTATCTCAAGACCAGTGAAATGCAGAAACTATACCTTGGTGTGCTGGATTCATAAATGTAGTTGTAACATTGTTATTATTATCAAATATTTTCTGAACTTCAAAGGGGTGGTCCCACAATTTTATTTTATTTTTTGGAATGAGAAGATTGGAAGGGTATTTCTTTACAGCCTAGCTCTTTTTCTGAATCAACTGCTCTCAAGGCATCATCAGTCTGCAAAACATCTCTTTGGCTTGCTTCCTCTTCTTCCTTTTCTCTCTCCTCTTTGGCACATTCTATTGGTTTGGCAGTGATCAGACTGAAAAAGTCTGAAGGGAAGGGGCCTTGATATCAGAGAGGCGATTATAGCCAGTGGGTTGAACAAAGAGGGTTTGGATATCAGCTCTGTTGTCACTGGAGCAAATAGGGAGAAGTAAGCAAGAGCGGGACACTTGCTGGTGTGATGTCTGATTGGAGACCTCGAAGATGACGTCAGGTCTCTGTGTGAGAAAGATGGGGAGAGGGAGAGGCCCCCCGAGTGGAACATGCTGACGATGTTCAGCTTTGCAAAGGTCTACTAGACAATGAACTCACTTTGAAGCGCCTTGAGATACAATTTTACAAAACTAGGGTTTAATGATAATGAAAAAGTAAAGTGTGTGGCTCAGGGTAAACTCTAAATAGACCCCAGAATGGCTGATGATGTAAATGGGTAGTTGGCAAGGACTTTTGTGAGAGAAGATGGGGGTAGAAGGCACAGGCCTCTGCTAGGGGGCTCCAACTCTGCTGAAAGTCAGCAATCTATGATCAGAGAGGAAGAAACCAGAGGAAAAATGAAACCTCTCTGAGACCTGAGTCAAGAAAGACATAAACAGCTATAGAAACAATTCCCAAGTCTACAGTACTAGAGGATTCCTTCTGTGTCAGAATGTCAATTTTACATCAAATTGTTTTCCTACATTTTAGGCCTAGAAAAATGAATGCTGGTTAAAGTTCATGAAAAAATGACTCAAGTGATATAAAAATAGGGTGAAAATTCACTCCTATATTAATTCAATGCATATCAATTGAGATCTTGCTATTAAACAGGCATTGTCCTAAGCTCTGGGACATAGAAAAACATGGGATCCAAAATACAGATGGTATTGGTAAAGAGAACATTTAATACTTACCTTGCAGTGGCACTTTACCAAATCATGATATACAAAGTGAGTGTGTTTTACCCAATGAAGCCTAAAGGAGTTTGAGGACAAATATAGTAAACAAGTGGGATTAATTTTTCTAAAAAGAGACATGCTCTGAATATATAAATAGATTCAATAAGGGCCTAGGGTGATCTACAAGAGATGGAGGACAGCAGTTACTAAAGCATGGTTAGGACTGTGTGGTCTCAGCCATTATTTTTTGGTGGTTGAACCCCTCCCCCAGAACTCCACTACTAAAATGACCCTTGTTGTGACAGACCATGGGGCTGGAAGGACTTTGGGTGTGTTCATATGCGGCCTGTCATATTTTACATTCTTAACATCTAAGGAAGGTCTCCTTTGTGAGGATGTGGAAAATGTCTGGCACTCTCATCTACCCGTGGGTCATGAAACCAGAGGGAAAAGTTACATCACAGATTTCAGCTCAGGGTCAGCAAGAACTTTCTAACAGTTCCATCAGAAAACTGAGCATTTTCCTTGGGAAATACTCAACAGAGGCTGAATAACCATCCAAGATGGCATCACAGGAAGTAGAAGCAGATGATATCCAATATCTCTCCCAATTTGTAAATCTATGATTCTATAACTCAGTCTTTCAGTTTAATTTTAGATTTGGATAAATGCACAAATGGTCACTATCTTATATAGAATTCTGCTAAAATGAAATTAATACTTTTGCCACAGTCTTTTTGCCTATTAGGAAAATGAAATCAAAGTTCATTTTCTATTTCCTTAATGAAAGTAATATTGTTAGTGAATCAGTGTATTAATGCTATTTCACAGTCTTCCATCACTTTGTTATGAAATGAGAAGGGCCTGTTTGTTGTCTTGAGCTAATATTTTGTCCCTCATTGGTCCATGATCCAAGGAAGATGGAATAGGAGGTGGAACAATAAAGACCTTGCCTTTTGCAGTGAGCCTCTCATACCATTAAAGGGAATCCTAACATGTTCTGGTGGGCCGCCAACATTCCAAAACAAGGCAGTCAGAGCTAAGCCTGGCCTATCTATTTCTTATAGTCATCAAGGCTCAGCATGGCTTTATCTGCCTAGCCCCTTATTATTCTGAACTCCTTAATTGCCTGGACTCTTTCTCTTCACAAATAGTTTCATGTACTGTATTCTGCATTAATGTGGGTGACTATGTGGAGATGTCTTCTATTCCTACTTTTAACAGATTAACAGCTAATAAACACCATGCAACACCCTCTCCTCTCAACCTCTTCTAAAAATACAGAGTTTGATTTGCCAACATTGGTGTATTTAAAGCCTCCAAGATTCCAGGGAAGACTTTCGAAAGTTAACTGTGCAAGTAAGGCCTGTTCAGAAGGGAAATTTTCCAACACAAAGAGCCTATCTGTGTATCTGTAGCTCATCTGAGAAGAACCTCAGGGGATCTTATAGCCATTTATAAAGGAAAGGATATTTGTTCTCAGTTAAAATAAAACTTCTCACTTTATTCTTGGTATACAAGATTGGAGAGAACTCTGGAAATGTATACCTGGTGAGAAGGACAGAGTAAGAGGGAATGCTTGCCTTTTCCAGAAAAGGACACCATGTTACCTTCCAGTGACCTGCAAGGAAAGGACTTACGCCACCTACTCCTCTCTACCCTCTTTCTGCTACACTCCCCATTGTCCCTGAAATTCCCTCTCTCAATTTAGGTAGGAGTGCAACAGTTTAAAGAAAAGTCAGTAATAAGAATGTGTATTCAAAGCTTCAAGCAAATGCTCTGTTTTGAGGACATCAAATATCAGCAAGAGTATGTCTGAAATGACCTGGATAATTTTTTTAAAATTACATCCACTAGCACTTCATATATATGATAGAAAATTTATTGAAGGGGAAAGTAGAGAGTGTGTGCATAGTTAAATTCATGGAATTTCCAAAATCAATGAAACAGAAACCTTAATGTAACATATTTGTAAAGTATTGGATGTTTCCTGAAATCTGGCAGTTCTCAAGCATATGACCCTCAAAGACCAACTTTGATTATTAGGTTACAAAATACAATAAGTATTTATAGAAATGCATTGGTCTTTTAGCTTGAGGTATAATTTCTGGGACCAAACCCTTTCTTTGCCTTCAGGTAAGTATTTTTTTTTTTGCAACAAAACCTCAAGTGTATTTGATTGTTTATCTCCTCTTTTATTTCTATTGCCCTGCTTGTCTCTGTGGATTTACAAAGCTTTTAAAGCCACAGCAATTTGACAGTTTCATTGACTCCACATTCCCAGTAGTGCAGTTGACTCTGGGACAGGCTGTGTCAATGCACCATGGTAATGATGAGGACATAGTCCTGTGCTTGAAAAACAGTCAATGCCACTCTGCTCAACTTTATTCTTAATATTAGTGATGTTGACCTTTAACACTTCACTTGTTTTTTTCGTACAGACCAAACCACCTTTGAAGAAAGGTCAGAGAGAAATTCCAACATAGTTAAGACTTGCTTGCACATATTCTGAATTGGGTTAACTTTTTCTTCCTCCTGCAGTCCACTGTCATCTGTACCTTCTGCTCTTACAGACTAATTTTCCCTGGTGGTGCTGTCTCTCAGGGCCTATGTATATACCACTTGTCAAACATCCCAGGAGCTTTAAAGTGTCAGTGCATTTCTTGGGATTATCTACAACTTCCTTTGTTGGCCTTTTTTTGTGGCAGAACTGGACTGGAAGCCATCATGGAGACCTATGCATTCTGGAGACCTCCGGTGCGCACACTCACCTTTGAGGATTTCACCACCATGCAAAAGCAGCAAGGTAAAGCCGTGGGGCAAGGCCTCTGCTTTGTGGTAGCACCAGTGGAGGGGATTGGGAGCTGAGCTGAATAGAGCACATCTGTCCCCAAGCCAAGCCACAGTTACACGGGTTCTCCTGGAATGAAGAGAACTGTTAGTTCTGAAAATAACCAAGGCATCACCATTTGTGCCAGCAACCTGGTTCCAGAGGTGGCACCCAAAATTCTCTTTCCTCTCCTAAAAGCAAGGCTATGTTCATGACTACAATGGTGGTGAAATTATTATTTCTAGCACTAAGCATTCACATAGCTCTTAGTATTTGAAAGAGATCTTCACTAACTTCATTTATTCCTCATGGCAGCCTCACCAATTTTCTTATTCTAGTTTTGTAGATGAGAAAAAGCTTAGCTCCAGACAATGAGAATTAATTTCTCAGTACTGACAGTGAGAAAGGGGCTGCTGCAAGGCCATTTGAATCTTACAATTTATGCTCTTTCTCATTTTGCTTATGTGAAGAAACACCCCTCTCAAGTTGATGGACCGGGTGGACCTTCTCCTCCCATTGCTGTGTGCTTTTCATCCAATATCTAATTTCCCTTCTCTTGTAGCTCAGGCTGTGGAACCTGCGCCCATGTGCACAGACAGCTCATGTGCCCATTTCAACTCCACCTCTCAGCCCCATCAGTGGCTCTCCCAGACACAGCATCACTTACTTGGAGACTCAAGTGAAAGCTTCCCAAAGTGTCACAGCTTTATGAGTCTCCCCTCCAACCTCCTCCTGTCCCAAAGTGACACAGGCCAAAGTTACAGAGAGAGCTTATTCTGTTCTATCACATCGCTGCCATTAATAGAATCTTAATTTTTGCATTTGTGGCTCTGTGATATGGGATGCCATTCTAAGACTTAATACATCATACTACAATCCCTTCTCAGGGGCTTTTCTAGCAGTTTGCACACTGATTTCGGTTTTATAACCTAAATTACTGAACTCTCCCAGGTTTTAAGATGAAGACAATGATTCCAAGCATAGACTCTGTGGCCAGACAACTTGGGTTAGGCTCTTGTCACTCACTGTTCCTTCCTAGCTTGGTGGCTGTGGCCAAGTCCCTTTGTGACTCTTAGTTTTTTCATCTCACCTGCAAAATGGAAGAATATAGTAGAATTCTTGTGAGGATTTAATGAGATAATGCATTTAACACAGGAGCCCTCAGTATGCACCAGCTCTCTTAGTCATCACTGTCTTCTTCCTCCCCTTATGTCCCCGTATATGGATTCCTAAGAGGAAGAAGCTGCAGGGACAAGGGATATTGCCTTTCTGATGATTAGTTATTCCAAACATGATTAGACCATTCATCTTCACAAGGATCTGGTCAGGCAAGTGACCCAGAATTTCCACCTCTTTTATATCAGTGGATGATAAATGGAAGCCCTTAACATGAAGTGACTTTCTCCTCATAATGCTGTGAGAAAAACAGGGTCAATACTTATTCAGGGCATTACTACTGCTTTGAGGCCACATGGCCATTAAGAGGCAGAGGTCCTATGAAATCTGGGAAATCTGGGCCTTCATCTTGGATGGCCACTAATTCTCCATATAACCTGGGGTAAGTTGCGTTTAATTTGAGGCTGTTTCCTCACCTACCAAAGAGGGTTAATACTTTTGGTGAGTCCCTTTACATAGACATGCTTTATAAATGACAAAGTGTTAAGCAGAAACACTGACTTGATCCCATTTATTTCTGAGGTGGCTTCTTGTTCATCTGTTACTGCTTTGCCTGTTGACTTCCCAAGCTCTAGCTAAGCAGGAGTTTGTATAACAGAGGCTGGTATGAAGTTGGCAGGAATATTGCCAGTTTCTGAAAGCAGGTATTGGTGGCAACGTTGTGTTCACTGTTGTGTCCCCAGGATCTACCACAGGGCCCGGCAGCCAGAAGCACCCAATGAACAATGAATGAAGGCACTTGGTGGCACTGTGGCTCAAGGAGGCAGAGTCACTGATCACATCTTGGAGCCCAGCCACCTAATGTGTGTGTGGATATGGACATGGGGCGATGATTGGGGATGGCATGTGGGGCCACTGGGAAGGAGCAGGCATGGAACCTGCCTGAGGCACTTAGGTGTGCTGTATAGCAGGTTTCATGGTGTTTCTACTACAATTTATTGATAATGAAGACTTACTGTTGATGCTCAGAAAACAATGCTTTAAGAGAAACTGAACTTAGGAAACAAAACGTCACCCTTATTAAGTGACTTTTTTTTATTGTGGTGGGGGGGGAGAATAAGTTGGGAATTATTGGATGCATATGGCAGTGGGATGGGGCTACAGGAAAAGCCAAGACTCTATTAAATCATTTAATTGGAATATATTTCTGAACTATACACTGAACTTGATCCAGATTCTCATTATTAAAAAATATGTGGCTTGGTTTCTTGATGTTAACAAAGGACATAAAAGTAACAACACCCATTCCCTCTTCCCTTAAAAACTAAGAGTGCCAGTAACTCTGGACAGTATCCTTCTGTGTTGAGCTGTTTTGTGTCTTAGAAGAAGGAGAAAGTGATAAACTTTTTATGGAAACTTCAGTGGCAGACTGATTTTGTAGTAATTTCCTTTTGGTGAAGAGCATATTGGCAGTGTTAGCATAAAATCTAAGATCCAAATAAGGACTGACTCATACAGGTGTCCATATTACCTCACTGCTTCGAACATGAATATCTGCCATGTCAAATACGTAATTTTAGGATAGTTTTGTGCTGCTGGTGGAGGGCCGATCAACCATTCTGCTTGGATGAAGTTAAGGATATTTTTTTCATCCTGCCCTTGCAGTCATTTTATTTCTCTTTCATTAAGACCCATCTTTTGATAAAACTTCAAAGAAAGCACTTATGTGAAATAGTCACAGTTTTGCAAAAACCCAAATCCTTCTATTTTTAAAAACACTGAATGGATATATTATATAGTTGTTCTCTCTGATGGAGAAGAATGCATGGGTTTCATTATCTAAAAGGATCCCTTGTACAAAAAGAAACTAAGACATAGAGCAGTCTAGTAACTTATCTGCAGTTAAGTGGTGGTAGAACTGAGTTGGGACCTGCAGAGCAGATCTCCTACTTGATAGGACGGTTTCCTTTTACCAGACCACATTATCTTTCTTCATTCTTACTTACTAGAGCTTTAATTTTTCACAAAAAAATTAGTTTAATATTCCAATTCATAGTTTATTGTCAACAACCTGAGCATTAACTCTAAATAGGTCGATATCTCACTTCCATGAAAGTAAGTGTATGGTTTATCGTCAGACATCTTCATTTAGAATCAATGGCAATCAGAATAATTCAGCATCTTCATTTAGAATCCAAAGGTAATTAGTTTATACCTTTGATGCATCTGGAGATGGGAATTTATTTCAGAAATGGCTTCTGCCTGAACATTGCTCATGTCAGTGAACTAACCACGTAAGTAATGCTGGAGGAAGCTGACTGAGGCAACAGACACACGAGAAAAAAGAAATAAGAGCCCATAACTGATGTATAGCTAAATTCAATCCTGGCATTCTGACAATGTTCTGCAGTTTGTCTGATGATATATACAATTAAGGCATTTGTATGGGCCAAACTGAGAGAGCTTTTGCGAGTAGCATCTCCAAGTGATCTGAAAGTTGTGCTTAAAGGATTCATCCTGGACTGGTGACACCAGACCTGACAGTACGTCTCCATCTGTGGAGATAAGGAGACTTGCCTTTTCAGAAGGCCTGCCTTCTCCTCAACTGGTGGCAGACATCACGAGACAGATTGCAACACCATTGGGTCTTTAAGTGTCTGTCAGGCAGTTAAAAGTTAGGATTAAGAAGGTCCCTGTTTGTGCTGGGATTTTTATCAGTTTGATTTGTATTGATTAGAGGTTGGTCAGTGAAAGAGATCAGATACTCAGCAAACTGATACTGGTAAACGTTGGAAAAGGAAAACAGTTCAATGGACAACAGTCTTTGAACTACTGTATGATCATTGTAATGATTCAAAGATAGGCAATTAATGCAGATCTCATTTATCATGGAGCTAAGTGACAAAGTCTATGAGGAGCTAATGACAGGGATTGGAGAGCATCTCAATTTAATCCACTAAAACAGTTTTTGGTTACATATTCTATTTTGTCCTCAAAGTCCCTATGCTCAATGTGTCCAAAACTGAGCCTGTGGTTTACCTTACAGACTTGGCGCCCTCTCCTGGGTGAAGGACACCACCACCCGTCCATCATCCCGGATGTTCCCTCCCTCTCCACCCCTCATATCCAACTATTACCAAGGTTTTGAATCCACCCAACTCTACTCTTTCCTGCCACCACCCGACTCCAGGCTGTCATCATCCCTCACCTGACTTCATTCTCAGGCTCCCAGTGGTGATAATGTAGCTGCCAGCAGCCCTGGACCTGTATCTTTTGTGGTTTTTAATCTGACGGGAAAGGTTATGAGCCCCTCCCTTAAGGTTTCTAGCAAAACCTCACTGCATCTCATCGACTCTAACTGGGTTATCCTTGAACCAATCACTGTGGCGAGCAGCAGGGAATATGATACTTGGATTGTTCAGGGCTGAGTCACATGCCTTCCCTGGAGGTAGTGGTGAAGGAGTAGAGGGGGACAGAGGGTGGTTCTCAGTAGAAAGACTGGATACTATGGACAGGAGAGATGCAGATGAGTTTTAATGACACCAACATCTGTCATTAAACTGTCAAACACTGCAGCAAGGCAGGGCGGCAAAACAAGTGGCAGAGAAAACAGGTTAATGGAAAGTGACAACATGGGGGCTGTCCACCTAAGGTAGCAGGTGTGACACAGGGCAGAGAGATGCAGAACCCACAGGACCAGGGTGAAAAATGAGAACTGGGTGAATATATTAAAGGCTATTTTAAAGGGACGAGGTTTAGGTCTATGCAGTCTTTAAACTCTGTGGAGAAAGATGCACTAGGATCTTTCTAAGATTAAACCACACAATTCCCATGAGGAACATAATATTTCACATTGCATT